CAAATAAGTTACCTACGAGCCATGCTGTTACAGCATCAATCTGTCAGTCTCGGTTGTTCTGTAACCTGCCATGGATCTGTCTCGCTACGGCCAAGCCATTTTTGCATCCGAGTTTTGTTGTGTCTTGGAGCTTAGCCTGCTGAGCCTCTTGTGGCTGCTACCTCTTTGATGTCTTGTCAAGCAATATTCCTGGTTCAGGAGCCTCTTAATTCTCTCTGTTCTGGTGTCACGGAAAAAGTTTCATCTGTACCTCTGAAGTGTGCACAGGGGATGGTTAGGGACTGTATGGTTAGGGAGCTGTTGTGCTCTGTACTGTTTGTAGGTAGCTATGCATTATGCCATTCTCATTATGATGTGCCAACTTATAGGACAGCAGGTCTTGTGGTCTCTGTGCATCTTCCAGATCCCTGTGGCTCTGACTTCAGTTTCTAGCAGTAGAGGAATAGCTTTTCAGCTGAACAAAGTGCTACCTAGTGTCTCATTTGCCATTCTGTAGTCTCAGAGTGACAAATATGGATTGGGAACTGCATCTGCAGTCTTCTATGTATGTTTTCAGTTATTCTGACAGTCCTTGCCTCTGCTAAATTAAGAGTAATGGAAGCTTGTGGTGCCACATCTAAACACATACTTCTTTGCAGCCTGTGTGAACTCCCATGCTGTCACTTGCTCGCCATTGTCAAGGCCTTTCATTTTGCCAGGTGCACCAAGGAAGATGAGTTCCTTATAGATAAGCAGCTATTTAGGGGGAATCTCAGACAGTAAAAACGCCTCAGAAAAGCATGTATCAGACTGCAGAACATGTACAGACTTTTTGTCACTCAACAGAAAAGACATCTAGGCCTTCCTCCTTTTCGCAGAGCCTTAAGTGAGAACTCTTTAGGTCTTGTAGGCTCTGTACAGAACACTCCCTGGGTGCCATGTGCCAGCCCAGCACTTTAAATACTCTAGTGTAGAAAAAGCCACCTGAAGGGTAGTTAAGATGCACCAAGGTTGCTAAAATGGCATTAAAAGGCAACTAAAACCTCGAAGAACAAAGTGTTTATGTTCTCATTGCAGTCCATGGAGGGTTCAGTTCAGATGCGTCTGGGTTGTCACATGTCACAGGCCTTACCAGAGTTCCAGAGATCTTTGGATTACCATCTGGAGACGAGGTTAGGTTATGTCATGTCACAGTACCTGGAATGATTTAGTCACATGGGCTTACCTTTTGGTATTTGAACATACTGTTTTGAATCCAGCCATCCTGCAGTAACATAAGGCAAACAAATCCTTCATCCTGCATGTCTACAGTACAGTAAAGACAAAGCATGCTCTAATCTGCATTGGCTGTTCTGACTAGGGCTTCATTGAGAGTTTGGATCCTTGTCTTACAGTTAAATTTAGGTGTCTAAATTCAAGTTATATCCCAGTTTTAGATTCCTGTGATGGTCAGGAAAACACCATCTCAGCGCTGAGTTTCAGCCATGACTTTTATTCCAGTGCCTAGAACAATGTTGATAGCACCACAGTGGCTTGTACATCTTTATCCAACTTAAAATTAAATACGTTCCATTTGCTTTCAGACTGTTTGTCATTTTGGCAGCTGCTACTGTTGTTCTTCTTTGAAAAAATGCTCTGATACCTTCCTTTCTTTGAACATTTTCTCTGGGCTAACGCTACTGTTTCCCTCTGTTCTGTGTACTCTCTGCTGCTAACTCCAGAGAAGCAATCAAATACATTGGCTTGTATCTTTTTACTGATTCATTGTTATTAACTTACCTTTTGCAACAACATGTATGTAGACAGCATTTTTTGGACTCTGTTGTAGAACTATGTGTCTCAAGTCTCTTTTATCTTTTGGTTCCTCTGTTATGTTTTCCTTCTGTCAAAATTGTGGTCTACCTTCCATAAGCCCGCAAAGAGCAATTTCCCTGGCTTTGCAGCTTCCAGTTTTATTGTCAAAGGTTAATAGTGGTTTTGTCCCAAATCCCAATTGCAAATTTGTCCTTTATCTATAACATTCACTAGTATTGGTTCCTCAGCCTTTAATTATTAACTCTTATCCTGTCCATTTCTGAAGAGCTTTTTACTCCCTTACGAGCTTTAACTGCTGTGTTTTTCCACTCGGTGTTTTCTTAGTTTGTGCTATTCATGCAAGATGAATGTACCTTGCTACAGAATACAAGTACGGCAAAGCAAACAGAAGGCTTTCGACGAGCTATGGAAAATCTGGGCTAACCCAACAGCTATTAGCCCTCCTGCAAGGTGTTGACATGGGTCCTAGCCAGGAAGCAGAGTAACCAATTAATGAAAACTGCTCGAGTCACTAGCTAAAGCCAGAAAAAAGTGGGGATTTTTCCACAGTAGAATTACTTTTGGTACTGTTAAAATATATATCCTGGTAACATCATCAGGCAAGCATCTTTTTTTTTGAAAATGTCAGCTACTCTCACTTATATTTAAACTAAACCCTGTTTTTAGCAGCAAAAAATCCATATTTTAAAAAAGGCAATTTCTCTTTGTATTTTGAAATGAAAATAATACTGCAGAGAGCATAAAAGACACAGAATGTAATGCTAATAGTTAATAGAACAGCTAATAAAATAGCAGTGTATTTCATTACTATTTCTAATAAGATAATGACAGCGCTAAAAATATTTTCCCCGTTCCATAAAAAGTTGTGGCTGTATTTTAATCAGTAAATGCACTTAAAATATGCACAGATTATGTTTTTGAGGGTTTCTTTACAATATGCTATTTTAACTCTAACTGAAGGTCTGTCAATTTGCGTGTTTAATTTAGGCATTAATTGCTTATAGACTACGATGCACAATTTCTGCTAGACTTCTTGCACGCTTTCATGTTTCAAATTACAAAAAGGACTGTAAGGATGATTTGGTGCATTTGAGGCCTTTCTGTATGTTTCTATGTATTTGTCTGGTTTGATATCTCTTCTACTTGTTAATACCTACATGTAGCAATCAGTGACCTCTCAGCCTTTTTGGATAACCCATCTTGTATACCTCAGCCTGCCATGGGTAGCTGTGGCAGGCCCACTATATGCAACAGTGCTATAGGAGTAAGAGTTACTCAACTGGCCTGTTTTTCAGGAGCGTTGTGCAAGTGTTCATTTAGTTTCTGTACACCTGTAATCATGTATAATGCATATGAGAATGTATAATGCATATAAGAAATGGGAATAAAAGTGGTGAGAACTGTGAGGTTTTGTATGTGTTTGACACTGATGAAAAAGATAAAGGTAGAGGTTGCTTTTGGGGGGCCAGTCCTTACAACTGACATTCATGGCGTGCCTTTTTTGTTAATGAGACACCTGCTTAGGGAACGCAGATAATTTTTTGCCTTCATAGATGCTACAAGAACAGCCTCCCCAAGATGAAGGAAAAAAAAAAGGAATTCCAAATGATTCCTAGTTACAAAGAGGCCGTGAGAATGTATCTGGAAGGGGTTTGCTTGCTGGTTCTCACAGTCTTCCCTAGGTATCTGCTGTTGCCTTCTCTTGGAGACAGGGCATTGGAACAGGGAGACTCTGGGCTGACCCAGCGTAGCTGGTTTTGTGTTCTTACATCCTAATTCACAACATGATGAGTTTAGAATATTGATGATCTTATTAACTACATGGAAACTAATTAAAGTAGTTGGGGAAAAATGTTTATTTTTAATTCCAGCAGAAAATCTGAGCCAGCCAGAGATTTTAACAAATGGATGGTATTTTAGTTAGTGACATACTAGCTGAAAGGTCACAAAATGTGTATAATGAAAAGAGCCATTAGGGTTTGCCATTTTACATGTGTCATGAAACTATTAAATGACATTAATATTTCTACTCTAGAACATATTAACTTGTATCTAAGAAATGATACAGTGCTGTGCATGGATTTGTGCTAGCAAGATCCTCTATCCCAATCAAATACTTAGATAATACTTAGATTTTAATAGGACCGCCCCAGAAAGTGGGATCAGCTTGCACTGATCCAGTTGAAGGGATATGGTCTGCTAGCTACCAGACATTACAACATTTGGTATATAATAATGGTAAGACTTGAATAATGGATAACGCAATGTTCAGGGAAGTTGTTACATGCAACTGGGTCATTTGTGCGCACCCTTAGATAGGTATAACATTCTATAAGGAGTGTTTACAGGTATCCTGAAAACACAGATATCACTTCGGAAGTTAGAATGTAATTGCTATCATTATTTAATGTGTTAGCTCCTGAGGAGAACAATCTCCTTAACACTGTAAAAGTCTTTCAGCAAAGGATATAAGTATATTTAAAGCTATGATTTTTTCATAAAGGTTTTATTACAGCACAAGTAACTTTACCTTCTTAATTGTCCTTATAGCATCTTGATGAACGTGCAAGTAGAGGTCAAATTATTGTATGAGGTTTTAAATCCTATCTGTTGCATTATTTAAGCAGAATGGAAATGCTTCTTTTGGATTTAAGCAAAATATATCTATGAAAATACATTGTATAAATCAAGAAACTGCGACTTTTCACTGAAATTCTGCAAGGCTTGCTTGCACTGTTGCGTTAAAAAAACCATGTGGTTGTATAAATGGTAGAGTAAAAAGTCGAGTGGCTCAATTATCTTTTTAAAGAGAATTTAAAGATTTTCATTTTTCTTCATCAAGATTTTGCAAAGTTACTGATTCCGAGAATGTTGCAATTCCATTGATACAAAGGAAGAGGTAAAAAGTGTAAAATAGTTTATATTTCCAGAAGCCTTACATAATCCTAAAGCCTTTGCCTATCATTATTTTAGCACCTTCAAAAGAGATGTGGGCTGTAAAATCAGATTCGCATTTCCATTTCTAATTGGAATTGGCCCATCCTGGTTCAGTACTATGTCAAGACTCAGATTTAGCAGAAAAAGTGATTATGAAAGAAATGGGAAATCTTTCACAGCTAATCATACATTTCGTCACTAAAGGAAGCTCTTTATAACTGCATTAGGCAAACGTGTATAGCTTACAGTCTGTGTTCTTGTTTCCACAGTGCATACATTATAACAGACTTCATGGGCATCAGGAATGAAAATTTTATGAAGGTAGCTGCAGTTGGGACTTGGATGGGAGATTTTGTCACAGCATGGATGGTAAGAAACGTAATATTACATTTGAAAAGAAAAGA